TGTAAAACGGCTATCGCGCGATAATTAGTCAGTTTGAGAAAATGCAAGGGGTGACAGGCCGCACATCTATACCGGCGTGAAACCTTGTGTAAACCTTCTTGGTTCTTTAAAAATTTGGCGAAGTAACGGTTGGTTTTGTGTATTATTCCATTTTTTCAGTAAAAGTTCTTTTAAAGTAGACACTGAGGGCTAGTACTGTGTCACGAAAGGCAATATTTTTTTTCCTCTTTGTTGCTGTGTTTCAGGAGTGCAGACTCCCTCTCTGTGAACTTTATATCTGATAGAAGGTTTTTTATCATAGTTTGTGGGTAGCCTCTGTCAATCAAGCGTTTTTTGAAATTTGAAATATTTTCCTCAAAAGTAGTTTTTGGGGAGTGTGTTCGTAGGATTCTCAAGGCTTCTCCTTTGACAAATCGTCTTTTAACACTCGGCGGGTGACAAGAGGTGAAATGTGTGTACCGGAAGGTTTCCGTTCTTTTAAAATGTGTCTTTACGTCAAGGATAGATTTTTCCTTCAATCTTGTGCCTTTGTATACAACCGTGTCTAAAAACACAGTCTCAGTGTCAGATATTTCGGCCGTGAATTTGGTAGTTGGTTGATGTAAGTTTGCTTGTTCGATGAACGCTTCGCGTTTCGATGTCTGGTTTACTTATGTCCCACAGGGAAAAGATATCGTCAATGTAGCGTTTCCAAACTGTAGGTTTAAAAAAGGGTCTGCTTAGAATTGTGGATTAGGTGTTTGAGATTAGGTGTTTGAAATAGCCATTTTCTTGTCATGTCATCAATATGATTTTCACGGTGAAGATCCGTAATTATGCATCAGTCAATTCCAGCTGCGCCCAGCACCCCCCCGGGCTACTGCGGGGCATTTGCCCGCCTTGTCAGTCCCGGGGGTGGGGCATTTGCAAATTTTGTGCTGCCCGGGGGCCGGGCATTTGCCAACCCCAGGGCCATTCCTTAGCTTTTGACACGCACGCGGTTTCCTATCAGAAAATAAATACACAGAGGATTTTACTGGGAAAGAAAGCAGATTGGCTCATCTGTCAAGGACAGGAAAAATTGAAGAAGTTTGTAAAGGCATGTTCTTGATTTTATGCATGCATTTCTTCATTGCTTATCGAACCAGAATTACATAGCGAAAACGGGAGCTATCGACGTGAATCAACGTTTTTTGGTTATTGAATGAAATTTCTGTTGAGATTCGTGATTTGTAAAACATCTTTTCATATTCATAAAACTATTCATAACATATAACTTGACAACGCTCTATTATTTTAATGTCAATAATTTTACATCAATACTAAAATTATAAACTGGTGAATGTCCTTGCGGCGTGAAGTCTTAATTACAATCATAGCCCTATTACAAAGGAAGACGTTAACGGAAACAAAAAAAATGCACATTAAAATGCTTAAAACGGCACTATTCGATTATGTGATCAATGAAAAATGTTGCAGTGTTTACGGAGGACGGGGCATTTGCCCTCTTTTTTCGTCCCCACCCCGGGGGATTTGACGGCTCAAGAGTCCCCGTCCCCGGGAATTTGCCATCCAAGGCAAAAAAAATGCTAATGCCCGGGGGTCAGCCCGGGGGGGCGCTGGGCGCAGCTGGAATTGACTGATGCATTAGGCGCAAGACCTTGCTGTGCGTTTCTTTCACCAAGGGTTGAGAGAGAGCAGAGAGAGATCTGTAGTTATGTTTATCGCCGATTTGTATTTGACCCTCTCTTATTTTGTCAGTTTTGTTCATAACTACTGCGATAAACTGACTAATTATCGCGCGATAATTTTTAAATTTTCTCATTCATCGCGCAGTAACTGCTCATTTTATCGCGCGATAATTTTAACTTATTGCGCGATAACTTAAGAAAAAAAAAGATTGCAATGTCTCTTACGGGCCACCGTACTAACCTACAATCTTGGACAAAATAAATGGAAAACCTAGACCCCCCCCAAATCAAGGATGGGAAAATGTCGCGTTTTTGCCCTTCGCGCCGCTTCATCCTTGATTTGGTGGGGGGGGGGGGGGGGGGGGGGGGGG